AAAATGTAATTGACAACTAGGTGGTTCGTTTTTTGGCATTGTCTCTCTCGAACGAGAAAGAGAGACGGTGTATTTGCAACAAAGTATGCCTTCTCACTTTCTCTCTCTCTCTCTCTCTCTCTCCCTCCCTCCCTCTCTCAATCATTTTCTCCTCTCTGTCTCTCTTTTTCCTCTATATATGTCTCTTTTCGTCTGTCTCTCTTTCTTTCTTTGCCTCTCTTTTCCGTCTCTCTTTCCCCTCTCTATTTCACTTTCACTTTTCCTACTCTCTTTCTCTTTCTCTTTCCTCATATCTATCTTTCTCTTTTCCCTCTCTCATTTCCTTCTGTCCATCTCTCTATCTCTATTTCTCTCTATTACTTTTCATTTCTCTCTCTCTCTCTCTCTCTCTCTCTCTCTCTCTCTCTCTCTCTCTCTCTTTTCTTCCGCATTCCATCTGCCTCTCTCGTAATCTACAGTTAAAGATGCAATTTTGAAAAAGAGTAAATGTCGGCAAATTTTCTACACTGAATTTGCTGGTCGGACTAAAATAAAGAGAGTCTTATGAAGCAAGAAGAAGAAGAAGAAGAAGAAGAAGAAGAAGAAGAAGAAGAAGAAGAAGAAAACCGCCTCTAAGACGAAAGGGGGAGCGGCCAGGGACAAAGGCTAACAAGTGCTTGCCACTGTCTAGGCTGCAAGGAAACGTAAACATGCCAGGCAAAAACATCTGCTATAAATGATGCAGAGATTCAAGAGGATTTTCAAATCCTCTCAATGCCCGTCCCTTTTCTATGGAAGATCGACAGATTGCATTTGCTGGTAGATCTCAAGCATTAGAACATCGAAACGGTGACGGACACATTTTGGTAAAAGATTTTTTTAAACTGCCTTTTCTTACTATGATTAAAAAAATACAAAAGGTATTTGTAAAATGGCTCTTTAGCAATTGTCACTATTTTTTTTTTTTTTTTTTTTGGTGGGGGTGTTGTATTTTGGCATAGTGATTAAGATGTTTGCATATTTTCTAATGCTGCTTGTGGTTTGAGTTCGAATCCAGACCAAAGGTAATATTTTTCAACGTACACTTGGGAGATTGGAGAAGCAGTCTTCTTTCACAGCAACAAGTTTTCTTTCTCTGACCTAACTCTGTCCCAACTTGAAACAAATTATCATTCAAATAATTTTCTTGTTCGGTCTCTTTATATCTTACTTACAGAACAGACTGTCGGGTGTTGATTCAAGCTCTCTCCTAGTCTCGGCATTTTTTTTTTTTTTTTATCCGCCTAACCCTAACCCTGGGTGAACAAAACAGTGGCGCTGGTTTCAACACCGTCGTAGAAATTTTGAATTCAAAATTGTCCTTCTCTTAAAATGATTAAGAACAAAGGCTAAGGAGACCCCCCCCCCCAGTCTTTCCTGTCATAGCTTGAAAGATTGAATCATATCTTTATGAAAGGTTTTTGTGGAAAAGTAAATGCCACTGCATTAGCCTGAATTTGAACTTCGCGCCGATAACAGGTACGATATATCCATATATATATATATATATATATATATCCAAGTGTAAGGTAACTTAATTCTAATGTCCAAACATTATATTAAAAAGTGTTTAATACAGAGTAGAGCTTAAAAATATTTATTAACAATTATAACAAAAACATGCTTTTGTTATAATTGTTAATAAATATTATATATATATATATATATAGAGAGAGAGAGAGACAGAGACAGAGAGAGTATATCTTCATTCAAGTATGTTTGGTTGAATAATCTAGACATTTTATATGTATTTACTTTATTTTAATCCTCTCAAATTCATGGATCAATTTCTTAGTGCTGTTACAAAACTGATTAAGAAAGACGCCGTAGTTTTGGTTATTTCTTTTATTTTCTCATGTACTTTCAATCTCGTCGAAGATCATCTTCAGGGGTGAATTGCTAAGACAAAAAATTAATGTTATTGATGCTTGTCAAGGCAGATAACTTAATTTATATTTTTTATTATTAAGATTTTAAAATACTCAACCAGCAAAAAAAAAAAAACAATTTGACATCCCAAAATATTACTTTTATAGATATTTTAAAACATTATTACTATACTCATAATTAATCTTATATAGTGTTGGTTTCATTTTTTATATAGAGCGCTCCAAAAATTTGAAGATTTTGTTTTTTTTTATTTTCATTGTAGAGTACACTTGTATTGTCAATTAATATTTATCTAAAACGTAAATGTGGATATGACCGTTCTTTAAAATGTTGTAGAATAGAACTTGAATCCGACATGTGTAAAGTGAGCCTTCTCGATAATGGTGTAGTCATGAAACTAACATATATATTTACTTTTTGTCAGGGATACAATCTCCCAAAGGACATTTAAATTGATAAACAATGTTGGTCTTTTGCAAAACATTAGTTGACGGAGAAGAGTTAAGGGTGGTATCCATGCTCGGGTAGCATTCACTTGACCTTGCCTTTCGAGCGCTCCAAACGCGTAGTCTTCTGTAAAACGAACAAAGTTTTGGGGTATTGTCAGACGATATGGAATAAACATACTTTGTCTTTTGAACGAGCGTTCTCACAACAGAACAGTAGATAGTCAGAGGATCAATGTCCGTTCCATAACTTTTATGTACCTAAATTGTATTGGTTTATTCTTCACTTTAGTCTCTACCAGTAAAACTTTTCAGAATCCATATTGCACATTTACAAATCTTCCATTCATCAGTGCATTGAATACTGTTGCCATATCTAGTTTCGTGCCCCTGCTGTTCATCTCGAGGTTCTTAACCAAATCCAGAGAAGGGGTATGTAATGTAATCGATCCTGACCTGGCATCACAATTTCAGTCACTTTCTCACCGACTTGACGTGGCTTCCCTCTGTCTTTTCTACAAATATTTTCATGGCAACTGCTCTGATGAACTTTTTTCCCTTGACCCCCGACGATATGAATTGAAGCGTGCTACTAGATTGGCAACTAGGTCCCACCATTTTACTATTCAACTAACTAAATGCAACCGCTACTTTTATTCTAATAGTTACTTCCCACCTGTGAAACTCTCTTCCGATTTCTTGCTTCCACAACTATCATTTTCAAGGATTTAAAAGCAATGTCAATCGCCATCTTCCATCATCTTGAACCTTGTTCCTTTTTTATCCTTTCTTCAATTCTCCCAGTTCTCAGTCTTTTCTTTCACTTCCACTCCCTGTAATACCTTTGCGTCTTAGTAACATTATCGCCTTGATTGGAGCAAAACGTTTAAAGGAAAAAGTATAGGTTGGAGTATGGGCCGATTAAGATCTCAATAGCTCCTGCTCAGGTTTCTCCAGAGACAGGCTTTTGGGAAAATCATCCTTTTTCGAAGTGTTTGTTATCAAATACAATTAGACATTTCAAGTTAATTCCCTACACCAGGCAACGTTTTGCTAATTATGTGCCGACTTAGGGTTTTAAAATCATTCAGTGTGCCAACAGCATGCATATTTTTATACAAGTTAAGGTTAATAAACCTATTCTACAATATATTTTATATAGTAATATATAGTATATTTACTTTAGTATATATTAAAATAGAAACAACTAAATATCTTCTTTGCGTTGTAGTAGTTATTAGCTCGGACTTCGTGATATCATTAGCGGTTTCGTGCCATTGGAAATTGCTTGGCGTGTCACGTGTGGCACGCGTGCCGTAGGTTGCCGACCGACACCCCCCTGCCGTACACTACATTGAAAATCTGCTAGAAAGTCCATTATTGTACTTCCCTTCGCCCTAAGATAATAGCCAGCTACAAAGCGGACGAGAAGAGAAAAAGACAAAGAAAAATATCCAAGCTTCAATAAATAAATAATGAATAAGACGAAACCATTTTGTAACAAAAGACAATGTCGATTTGTGATTTGAACATTAACTACTCCTCCCACCATCTGAAAAATGTTTAAAGGATCATGCTGTAGTATCTGTTGATATTTATTTTGAGTTTGTCTATTAGAAAGAAATCTCCAATATCTACAAGATTTCTTTCTGTTACCAGCGTACTGATTGAGATTCATTTCGAGACTTTATTTGAGACGCCCCTTGGATTAATATTTTTAACCTCTTCCCATTGAGAATCATACAAATGAGATTTCTTCTTAGGTTAAAATTGGCAACGATTCTTTTATTCCTTCTTAGAAATACCAGGTGAAACCAAAATCATCTCTTTGATTCACGGCTACCTTTTTCAGCCGTTATAGTCGACAAGAATCACTTTTTTTTTACGATCACAACAGACACTTTCTGCTTTCATGAAGTGAAAAGATTCTATTAAATCAATTGCAAGGTCTGCTGCTAAGGAAATTGGTTCACTGTATCGGGCAAGACAATTTTTTTTTCGTATGAATTTATCTGATGCATTTATAAGTCTACCAGTCGCTCATACATTGAATTTTGTTTTTACATCTGATCTGGGGCTTCTGCTATATATTTAGAGATAAAAATACAAAGAATCTGCAATATTATTGATCCTCACCTGTCATCTTGGCTTCAGTTACTTTCCCATCACCGTAATGTAGCTTTCCTGTGCCATTTCTATAAATATTTTCATCATAATTGTTCTGACGAACTTTCCTCTTTGGTACCTAGATTTTACGAATTTAAGTGTAGTACTACATTAGCACGGTGGAGTAATGGATAGCGGCTCGGATTGAGGAATCGGAGAGCCGAGCTCGAATTCCAGTCGAATCCATTACATTCATTTACGTGCTAATACTAATACTAGTACTAATATCACGTGCTAATACCCTTGGGAAAGGTATGAATCCTCTTCTTCTACCTACCGCCCACCCCAGGACAGACCGAGTTCTATAGCCTTGGATGGCAACTGGTCTACCGCAGAAAGAAATGGCAACCTACTGCGGGAAAAACTCTGCCTCATCAGTCATGTATCGAAAGATACATGATCGCCTAAGCGAGTATCACGCATGACACATAACTGACTGACTACATTGGCGGCAAGGTCTTATCGTTTTACACTTGAAAT